AGGAGGGGGAGAGGGTAAAGCCCCAGTAGAAGGGACCTTGACCTGAAGAGAAGACCAGTGTCTACTATCAGGTGGCTTTGACAGGACTGGGGAAATAGGAACCAAAGAAATAAGTAGTAGAGTCTTGTAAGTAGAGGTAATCATTTGGCTTTAAAGGTGAGAGCTGGAAAAGATCTGTCATAGGGAAATTATAGAAAGACATGTAATCCCAAAGGGATTATTTTAGTTAGTTATAAAAAGGAAAAATTAGGGAACCTAGTAAACATAATGTTCTTTCTGTAACTGTAGATTAATGATACCAAAAAAAAATTTTTTTAATTTAAAAAAAAGTAAAAATTAGCAAGACAGACCCTGAAAATTATGAATTTAAAAAAGATTCAACTGCATATACATACCTTTCATAGAAACATTAAGTTTAATTCTAATTTCAGACTAAAACAAGACCTCATTTTCTTGGTAGACAGACACTAACACAAACTTGCCAGAAAGGATGTCTTCTTTTAAAACTCTTATTTTCTAAGATACATACCAGGAGCTCATGTACCATTCAACTAGTCACTAGTGTTATTCAAGTCTTCACTAGGCATTTAACTCTACTATACTTTACCTATATTATGTTAAGACCCAGATAAAATTCTAGTCCAAATTCAAGCTTCTTGATACTTTGGCTAATTTATAGTGACACTCAGAGTATTTCAAAGTAAATATAATTTCAGATTGATACTAATTAATGCTTGAGGTAATTAAGAAAGTATGTATAAACTCTCACGGATATGATCAATGTAATAAGAATAGAACTGAAAATGTCATATTTTTGTATCAGTAGGAATCTATTCCAGAATCAGAGTATCAGACCTGAGATTCCTGGTCCAAGTCCTTGACCTTAGCTCCCAAATTCAAGTAACAGAGACTCTGCCAGAGATGTATGACAGGTAAAAATATACTGCAACTATAGAAGCCTGGGGCCTTTAATTAGTCTTGCTGTCACAAGTACAGCATCCTCTGAGTCCCCATGACTTGATACCTCCTTCTTTATGGTTCTTGTATCTCCTTATCCTATAGCAGCCTAGTACTGCCAGGTCCATGATATAATGCTAGACTTAATCAAGACTGGCATGGGAACTGGGTTAAGCTGAGTCTAGAGATGATATTATCAATACGAGCAGCTCCGAGGGACAGAGGGAAGGCAAATCTCTGGGGACTTAGCAAACAGAATTGATGAGGTATAGACACAGCTGTAATGACTCATTAGCTAAAACAAGAATGAAATAGTCCAGGAAAGAATGGCTCAAGGAAATACATATAACACTTCAGGATTACAAAGTCTGCACAGAGTCTCTTGTGATTAGGGATCTAAGGGTAAAGTTGAAAATTTGGGGAATTCCTCATTGTATTCAAGCAGACATCCATACTTAAAACATGAAGATAGGTAAGTGGTTGATATTCAAAAGCTGCCAGTATATATTCCCCCCAAAACTAACTACAGTTAACATCTATTAAGCACCTTTTCTCTGGTGAATGATGCATTTCATTAAAAGTTCACGATATCCTATGAGGTAGGTATTATTACCCTGCTTTTACGGGTGAGGAAATTGAGGCTTACAGAGATAAAATAACTCACCCAAGGTCACAATACTAGAAGTGGTAGAACCAAGTTTTAAACCCAGTCTGACTCCACAGCTCGTACTTTTAACACTACATTATGGCTGTACTTCTAAGAAAACAACTACAAAAAGCAGTAGCAAAGTAATTTTTAAATTAGAGGCTTCCAAACTTTTGTAGCAATGGATTCTTTTTCAAATGAAATGTTTCTCATAAGCCAATTTATAAAATAGACAAAAGCTAAACAACTCTCCAAACTTCCAGTATCTGAGGCCTCAACAGAAGTTACCAGAACATATCCTGAATATGACTCTGTCATTCCATCTGGTTGTGAGTGGTAATAGTACTATATTTTAATTATAAAAGAATCAAGTTATATTTAAGTAAATGGAATGCAATATCAGTAGAGATTGGGGCTCTAATAATACCTTTACTTACTTAAATTGATAACATATTTCTGACTCAATGTTTTTAATATACTTACAAGTCAAATAATTTGCCTAAAATGATCCAAAGGGGTAGGGAATGATTGAGAACTAGGTTTCAAAAACACGAACTTTTCAAAATTTACCAATATAAACTATTTTGTACAAATTACTACCTGTGTTAAACTTTGGACATTAAAAAAAAAAAGAGTACAGGAGAAGGGAAAGGAATATAATTCTAAAAGTGTTCCAATGCCCAACTTTCATAGTGAGGTTTTGCACACAAACAGCTTGCTTACCACCTTAAACTTTGGCCTTTTGGAAAATGTTAAGTGACGAGCAAGTAATGAAAACATTATGTTTAACTGCACTTTGCTGTCAATAGAGCAATATATTGTAACATAGCAGCAAAAGATTTGTTAAAACTGTCAATCATGCCAGGCGGGCAAAAGCTTTCTTGATTTACTTCAGCCCATTCAGTTTTACATTTCCTTATGAAAGCTTCAAGAGCAGCGACAGGAGTTCTCTACTGCTGCTTTTAGCAATTTGTATCATAATAAAGAATTAAATCTTAACCACACAACTCACATGTTTTGTGATTACAGAAATTGCCTTGCTTCTCTGTTACCTCTTAATAGGAATATATTAACATTTGTGGTGTGAATTTATTAAAATAAACATTTGTTAAGTATTTTAAAATTAATTTAGAGCAACTGTTTTTATCTTTGAAAATCACAAACTAAAACAGTCTAATATTTTATGAAACATTTAAAGAAAGGAAGGAAATGGTAGACTATTTATTTACCCCTGTCTATAAATGGTAACTTTATTCTAAGCAGTACAACCTCCTATTTGTTTCCACAGTAAACACACCTGTGAGTTACACTAATGTTTTCTCCTTGTGAAGCAAGAGACCTCACCCACTGATTCAAGTCAAGACTCAGGTTTCACCTTAAAGCCCCTGTACTTACTCAAAAAAAAAAAAAAAATGATCTCAAGGCCTATTTCAAAGTACACTGAAATACTCTGGGTTTAATCCAACATACTGTTTGAATTCTTTTCACATTTGGCCAATGTAAAACTAAAACCTATGGATTTTAAGTTGCAAAATATTTTCTCTAAATTGCAAAACTATCAATCAATCAAACCCCTGTCCAGGTTACAAAGTTCTACTGGCTGGCTCAGGTAGGGGATATCTGAATTTTAGTTCTGTAAACTGAGAGAAGTGCCATAAAGTGTGGCTTTCTTATCTATACAATGGGAATTACATCTCTTTCATAATTCATTGAGTTCTGTTGAACTGAATGGTGGAGATAATTTGTGGAAAAGCTGATTTTAAGTAGCTAACAGAAGTTATTAATTTACTACTAAGCTTATCTTTTCAGAATTCTCAGAACCTTAAGAATAGGTTAAAAACTGGTTGAATTTCAAATGCAATGTTATGGATTCAAAACTGAATACAGATACATAAGCCTCATAAAATACATATCCCAGGAAAAAGCCTCAAGCATTTGAAATTCTTGTGGATTGGTGGGGGCAGGCATGAATGAAGGGGATAGGGCACACAAAAACTGCATGGTTCCACTATACTGAACTTGCTTCTTCACTTCAGGTCAGCATACCACAACAAAAGTATTTTGAGGAGGTTAAGTGATTTTTTTTGGGTTTGTGAATCTATAAAATTTACAACTGGAAACTCTCAATTGTATGTATATGTGCATGTTTGTGTGTCTCAATGAAAGGGGCCCTTCAAAAAATATAAATTAAGATAACTGAGTTAGGTCCCAGGAGTTACAGTTTTGTTCTGTAATAAGACAGGCTTTTGAGATTCCTCTACGTGGTTTACTTTTATGTACTGAAAGCATGTCATTTTAAAATTTAATCAATTAACATTTCAATCATATCCTTAATGTACTTGTAGCCCTTAAAGTTTCAGAATTAGAAAACACATACTTACTAAAAATTAAATTCAAGTAAGAATCTTAACTTCTAAATTAATAAAATATTAAATTTCCATCAATCATTCTTCTTTCAGCTCATTCTCCACAGGTGTCACTGTGCAATGTATTTTTCTTACTCCTTCATTCTTTATGATGTGTACACACAATTAAAATGTTTTACCAAGATAAGAGTTACAAGACTAAAGTCCCACTTGTATTAATAGCTTAGCCAGTCTTCCTTTGGTTGGCCCACATAAAGAACAACCTTGGCTCTCACATACCCAGTCACATTTTTCTAACAACTACCAGCTGTGCCTATCACACTATCTACTCTTCTATCCATCCTTTCTTTAATCCTGAGCACACTCACTGTATTTTACATGCCTTTCTTCTTCTCAATAATTAGTGAATATTGCCACCTATCTATGTATCTTGTAAACATTTAACTTTTTTTCTAATTATTGCACTGTATTTTTACTTTTGTATGAACCGCACTTTATAAACCAATAAATCAAGATATTGTGTATTAATGTGAAGGCAAGCATGCTGTGCATTAAACCAATGGAGTTTTCAGTATATCTCAGTAAATACTGAATTGTAAGTTGAATCAAAAGTATCAGTATATAATATGAGGTAGAAGTGAATTTTAGAATGATGTGTGCCCAACACTGTCTATTCATCCTATGGTTTCCTTCCTGTAAGATATTCAGAAAACTCTACCTCTCACTATCTTACCACCTGACCATAGTGGTACACTGTTTGCAGAAATATTTAAGTGTATGCACTAAAAGCTTAACAATATATTGAATCAACAAAACAGTAACAGTGATTTTTGGGGGGGGGATTTGGGGGGAAAAGGGGGGCACTAAAAATTCTCAGGGACAAATAAGCACACTTACAAATATATACAATTTTAAAACTTTGCATAAATAAAATCTTGTATCAAATACCCTCATTTCCTACATCATTTCAAATGAAACAATTTGGGGCATTATTATTTATAAAAAAGAAGCAAAATGAAAAGAGGTCTTACGGTGATGATTCCAAAACGATGCTATTAGCTTGCGTTGAAGATGAAGATCTGTGATTCACAAATACTTCACTTGGGGAACTACGAACCACGTGGTCTACCAAATGACCAACTGAAGATGGTCGTAACCGGGTTCCCTTTTGTGTGAATGCAGAATTTCGACTATATGAAGAGGAAGAAAAACTGAGTAAAAAATGTGCTTTAGTTCATTTTTTTAAGTTTCTTAATTACATGATGGAATTAGAAAGTGGCTACATGCTTTTAAGACTAACAATGTTGACTAAGCAGTCTCTGACAGACAGCGTGATGTAAACAGAAAGAACACAGAACAGGAAGTCAAAGATCTGAGTTACAGTTGACAATCTGCCACAAGCATTTTACCTATTCAGTCATGTATTATCTCTAACCAACCTTAATGTTGCTAGGTGTTAGTCACAACAACTTTGGATCTTATTCAGCATTTATAAAATAAAGGGATAGAATTAATGATTCAGAAATATCTTCTGATCTAAATTCTTTTTTAGTCCTTATAAATATTTTTATTTAAGGGAATTGCTTTAATTCCTAAGAATACATATTGAACATATTTTCATCCTCATAAATAACATGAATTATTGTCACTATGATAACTAACACTTGAGCACTTATTATGTGCCATGCATTATTCTAAGCATTTGACATGTATCACCTAATTTAATCCTCATAACAATACTATTATTGATATAAATATAATTTTGAGGATGAGGAAAATGGGACAAAGACATTAACTTGCTCAAAGTTCAAACGTACACTGATTCCATGACCCATGTTCTTAACCACCACACTGTCCTCTCTAGAATTTAGAAAGAAACATTTTGTTTCCAGATCATACCTAAAACTGTTTCATTAACCAGAAAATTCAACAAGAGCTACTGCTAATTAATTAATTCAATCATCTGGTTCAAATTTCTTGTGTCTTCTACAACTTGCTATAATTATGTAGTGGCACTGGTTAACAAATGGAGAAATGGCTGGCTGGAAAAGGAATCAGAAAAAGAAGGTTCTGGATTTTCTTTGAACAACTGAATTAGCCTTTGAAAATATATGTTTTTTTAAATGAAGAAAGGTGACTTACTAGTATGCAATTTGCAAGACAGAAAATTACGAGCCTATTTCTTCAGATTTTAGGTATCAGGTAATATTCTGTGAACCAAACTGTTTATGAACAACATACTTTACTTCCAATATAGTAGAAGTTTATTCTTGACTGACAAGCATCCATCAGTGACACAACTTTTAGAATTTACTGCATATTTATTGGACATTAATGTGTATAAAATCTTTCTAAAGTTAGACTTCTTCAAATATTATATTCCATATCAAAATTCAAATATTTTATTTATCAACCTTTTGGGTTAAAAGGTCGATCACTATGCTGACATACATATTTTTTAATCATTATCTCAATTACATACATATATTATACATAACACATTGTTTTGTTAACATTATAAAATTAAGATAACATCTTTGGCCAGCAAAGTTTATCACCTTATTATCTACACCAAATCCTAAAACCTTTCTGAAAAGTGCTAAAATGAAGTATATACACAGCTGGTACTGAATAACACAATGCTTCTTCGCATAGCTACGGCTAAGCTTGTAGGAACTTGATGTTGGGAATCCTTTTGATAAGACCACAGAAAGTGGTAGAGCACTGGCTAGAGCAGGAGCTTAAGTAAGAGAATCACAATCACTTAGCACTTTCAAGCAATACATGCTCTTCTAGGTGTTCTGTTGGAAAGCCACATGGAAAAGAATTATGTCAACAACCATAGTTCCAGATTTTAAGTCTACTAATAGATCTTGATTAATTGATTAGCTAGGGACCCTTACTGTGAAAGGCAACAGTATAGGAAGGTGGGCATCCTGTTCAACTTTCTACTCCTGCATTTGCAGAGGCTACTCCATGCCACTTCTGCAGTGAGCTGTAGGCTAAGAAGAAATAATGCTCTGGTGCAAGAGAGATTATGTCTGATCAAAAGATTTAAATATAGAGACACGTTTTGATCTTCAGGCAATGGAAATATATGGCCAATAATTTAGAAATTAATAAAATGTACACCTGATATTCATCTGTACTTACTGGTTAGGAGTTCCAGGTGGAGATCGTGATGGAAGGCTTTGTGTTTCTAACCTCTCATCAGACATTGAATTTCTGCTTACTACTTCCCAATCCATTAATTTCCGTGCCATGGGCTTACTTGGGGACCTGCAGATATAATATAATATGAAAAAAGTTTTATTTATATACCAAAATTATCCACCAAACCTTAGAATTTATCTTAATAGATCATATTCTAGATGAGTAAACATAGTTTACTTGTTAAGAAATCAATGCATTCAAAGGCTAGTTATCAAATAATTTCCTAAGAAAATAAATCTCCTTAATATAAAGGAGAATAGGAAGACAGGGCAGGAAAAGTAGGAGAATAGGGAAGAGGAGAAAAAGAAAAAACAAGAAAAGAAAGAAAGGAAAAAAGGGAGTAGTTGGATATCAAGTTTTCTCAGATATTTCAGGTATTACAGACATTGCCTATTCCTATTCCAGAGTTTCTGGAACTCTACCTTATCTTGTGATGTATTAAATAATTCCTAGAATATTATCTCCTGAATATCCTTAAATCTAAACTCTGATCCTTTGCCTCGATGAAGACAGGAAAAAACATGAATTATGCATATTGCATTTTACTTATAATATTTTCCTTTCTGTATATATAGGCTAGTGGATTTCTTTTTTAAAAAATTCTTTGGAAGGTTAACTATTCTGTCTCACTGTTGAGGGGGGTGTAAAAGAATGTTTTATTACCTTTCCATATAACTGTCAGCTATCATAGTGATAAAGATAAAAACTAAGTGATCTTTTCAGAAAAGATACTGATCTTTGCAGAGTTCAGAGACCTTCAGAATTTAAGGGAAGTCAACAAGTCTTTTTTATATGCAAATTCAGATAGTGGCCAAAATTCATGGAAAATTTGACATCTACTTAAATGCTTAGCATTTTGAAATGCAGAGTTAATGTGGAGGCTAATATAATCAATTAAGCTAACATAATAAATCATCTTTTAAACTGATAGTTCCATATTTCATTAATAAATTCACTTATGTACATAGAAATAGACTAATTAAAACATGACAACACTGATCAAGAGTACACAATAAAATTTATGTATACAGCAGGAAGGATTAAAATAATGATGAGTAGTGGCCCTTAATCCTAGTTTTGACCTTCCCATTAGACAAATGACTTAAGCTTCTAATCTAAATATCTAAATTTACTCATACAATGGATGATCCTTAGGGTCATTTCCTACCTCCTGGATTTTATGATATTTGTGTATCTAAATTTTCAATGTAATGATTTAGTCTACTAATTTTATTAAACCACAGTAACTTAAATTACTTCTGAATTTAAACCACACAAATGCTCTGCCATTTCAGGTATTCACAGCCAAAACATTTTTAGTTTGATCTCATGACATCTCCTTAATTTAAGAAGATCAAACATTTCTAAAAGAGATGTTATCAATTAAAAAAAAGACACTGACTCAGATTTCATTTTTCATAAATCAATTCCAAGTAATTTAAGTATGAACATTTCCTATTATCATGAGTTTAAGTTACAGGGTTTTCTGACTTGAAGACAACCCAGGACATCATTTAGTCTAAAACCCTCACACTGCAGTGCAAATATTCCTATCAATCACAATAAGATGAAAGTAAGTTATGCTATCTCATGCATTAGATTTTTCAAATGAAGATCATTAAAAGAAATCTTACCATTTTTCTATAAATGCTAATTCTTAATAACTATTCTTTCTCATATATTAGACTACTAAATGTAAACTGTAAGAGAGTTCACTAACAAAAGTCAGATCAACTACTTTCATTTTCTAAGACAGAGAAAAAGCCATTTGATGGAGAAAAAAATCCAGTTACACTCACCAGTATACAGTGTTAGAAGACTTTACTGTTGTTAATAAACTAAACGTGGCTGGCAGTGCTGCTCTGCATTTCAAACTAAATTTCAGGTATTTATTTTATTAACAGTTTTAACCTCAGATACCCACCCACTCAAGCTTGCTGTCTATGTTTCCTGTTGAGTGTGGAAATTTCAGAGAAAAAAATACCACACTTCATCAGTGTGTTTGCAATGTGGTAAATTTATTTTCTGACCATGGCACCTTATTTTTCTGTTGCATGGAAACATTCTTTTGCTTTCTTGCTCTCTTCTTAGATATATGTGACAGTTGAAAAATGTGAAAGCAATTCAAAGAATCAATATATCAAAAAAGTATTAACTTATTATTGTTTAAAAAATTACCTTGCCATGAAAAGTTTAAGGTGAAATCTTTTCTATTTATACTGCCAACTAAAATTCTAAGTGGACCAGAACTCTAGCATTGTCTAGTACTTTAACAGAATAACTTAATTTAGTAATTGTTAAAACCATTAGAGTATTTTGATAGATATGCTGCAGTATTTTGATAGATATGCTGCACAATAAGATTCTGATATTTTATAAAAAACACCCAGGAAAGCTTATTAGTCTTTTAGAGCTAGGAGGATCATTAAAACACCACAATTACAACCCTGTCCCAGCTTATGACTTGTATTTCAAGGAGGATTCACATAAATCCATCATAACAAAAGAAACAGACAATTATTTAGTTCTTATACAGGAATTTTAGCATTACTACTCATTGAATAATGCATACTGATCTTATAAAACAACCTGTTAGACAATTTCACATTTTAGTAATGAATAAAAAAAAATGAAGAACTAAGATGCAGGTGTGACTATCTGCATATTTCTCAAAATCTGATATGATCAAAAAATTAAAACACTATAAATGAATTATAGTCATTTGCATGTGATATTAACATTAATATATAAATATTTTCAATTAAGACTGCACCATAATAAAAATACTTATGCTTTTTTCTTCTGCTAAGTCCTAATATAACAGAAAAGAATCAGAAAAATATTAATTTTGATTTTAACAAGTCTGAAAGGAGTGCAAGTAAGTTATAGTACTAATAATTAGAATACATTCTAAATTAAAACAGTTGACAGGAAGTAAATTATTTCTTTCTCAAGAAGAATTTCAGGGAAAACAATTTCAAATTAACATTTTACTGTCCATTTTACCTTTGTTTGGGTGCATACTACTTTCTAACTGGAAACAAGTGTAACTAAGATTGTAAAAGAGAGGATTTTGAATAATTTCACTTGTCATTTCTACTAAGGTAGGCATCTCTGTGTCTTTTTTACTCTTTTCTGAAATAACCAAGCCACTAATATGACACCAAGATTTATATTTAATGGAGAAACAGACAATATTTCCCTCATAAACCTAAAAATCAGATTTGACATTTAATCAATTTCAAAAGTTTTTAAAAATATGCTGAAATGATACATTATTCAAATTCAAGTAAACTTACCACAGCAAAATGCTACCGCCCTTACAAGCTAATCCTTCTTATATCAAGTCATTTCATTGACAGTTTCCATGTTGGGTACATAATTCATAGACAAATCAGGGTGAGGGTAAGCCAGGAATGATGAAAAAAATGCAAGTAAATTTTATTATTCAAATACATAATAATGTTTTAATAATTTTTTGTTTCAAATGTCCTCACTCCAAGGAACTTGTTTTTTTTTTTTGAGAGGGCATCTCTCATATTTATTGATCATATGGTTGTTAACAACAATAAAATTCTCTATAGGGGACTCAATGCACAATCATTAATCAACCCCATGCCTAATTCTCAACAGTCTCCAATCTTCTGAAGCATAACGAACAAGTTTTTACATGGTGAACAAGTTCCTACATAATGAATAAGTTCCCACATGGTGAACAGTGCAAGAGCAGTCATCACAGAAACTTTCGGTTCTGATCACGCATCATGAACTATAAACAATCAGGTCAAAAACATAGTTTAGTGCTGTAAGAGGGCAAATGCAGATGATCAGGTGTGTGCCTATAGACTAAGTATTAATCCAAGCTAGACAAGGGCAACAAAACACAAGGAACTTGTTTTTACAAGCATCAGATAGTGTTAGCAATGACCCCAACTCCAAAGGCAGGGAAGTGGCAGGGTAAAAGGAAGAATCCCAAAGTTAAATCTACAATTTAGGATAACAGGATTTAACTGTTTAAAGATTTACTGACATTATTAATGACTGAAGATTTTTCAACATCAAAGTAAATGCCTAAAATAAGAACAAGCAACAAAAAAAAAATAAAAATTTTGAAAACAAAACATACATATAAATCTCTAAATATGCATGGCAAAACCTTAGAGTAAATACTGAAAATTTTTAAATGCTTGTGTCAGGGTCACAATTTTTATGTTATTTGGTGGTGTTAAAGGTTTAAAACATATACACCTATATGAGTAGAAAAAAACAACAAAGGAATTTCTACTTTTGGAGGCAAGAAAGAAAAAAACAAGAGCTCCTTTTACCAGGAAGTCTTTAAAAGACTAAAAGCAAAATTAAAATCAAAAGCAAAATTCTCTAATTCTCATATATTAAAACTCTGAAGTCTTTAATGGCAGTAGACACCAAGCACATGAATTTAAGGATTTATCCACTCTAAGGCATTGGCACTGAAAATACAGTGCTACATTGGAAAAACACCTACCATATCTCACACATTATTATCAGAGGTAGGGCTACCACAGTGAGTAAAAGAGACAGAACTCCTGCCCTCACAGAACTTACATTCTGATTCAGAAGACATGATAAATAAGATCATCTCCCACATCTCTGAGACAGGAAAGGAGTCAAGCATTCATCTGTCTCATGAAGAATAACAAACATTCTGTAGAGGTTAAAATGTGGGTAATAACCTGGAATGCCTGGGCTAGAATCTTGGCTACATCCCTCACTATCTGTATAATCTCAGGTAAATTATTCAAACTTGCTGCGCTCAGTTTTCTCATCTGTAATGGAATTTACTTCACTTAGTTTTTGGGCGTGTGAATTAAAATATACAAATTGCCTGGCACAGACAAATACAAAATAAATGTCAAGTCAGTTGATTAACTGATCAGTTGATTAACAAGATCAGTTGATTAACTGATCATCCTCTTTCCACTCACATGCCCAGAGAGTTGATTCTATCACAACAGTTTTCTCATCTGTAATGGAATTTACTTCACTTAGTTTTTGGGCGTGTGAATTAAAATATACAAATTGCCTGGCACAGACAAATACAAAATAAATGTCAAGTCAGTTGATTAACTGATCAGTTGATTAACAAGATCAGTTGATTAACTGATCATCCTCTTTCCACTCACATGCCCAGAGAGTTGATTCTATCACACAGCAGCCAGCGTGACAAGTCCCACTCCCATCTTTTTATCATGGAACATTTCAAGCATAGAGGTAGAGGGAGCATAGTCTAATAAGTCCTGTGTACTCAGGACCAAGGTTCAACAATTGTCATTACGGTCAACCTTGTTTCAGCTCTCTTTCTCACCCCAATTATTTTGAAGCAAATCCCAGAAGTCATATATTTGTAAATACTTCAGATTATCACTGCAAAATTTAAGAACTCTACCATATTTTTAAAAATGCAAGTCAATTTATATCCCTTCCATGCTGTCAGTCCCCACTGGCTTCCACTTAAAATCCTAAATCCTTACCATTTCCAACATAGTATGATACAAGTTCTGACTACCGCCCACCTCTCTAACCATCTCCTCTACCACTGCCTTGCTCACTCTGGTCCACTACTGGCCTATTCTTTCTGAAATATAAAAAGTATACACTAGTTCCATGGTCTTGCACTGGCTCAATCCTTTATTTATATTAAATATCTGTTGCCCAATCAGAATTTCAGCTCCATGGGACTTAGATGGGCATCTTGTTCATTGTATTCCCAGGGCCTGAAACAATGCTCAGCAGAGTAGGTCTTCCATAAATATTTACTGCCACCTATTTGATCACTCTCCCTCCCTCAGAGCTCTACAACTGAATATTTAATCAACTAGATATTCTGTTAGGTTGTCGCTCATCATCTCAACTAGACCTGTGCCAATTTAACTTTTTCCATTACAAACTTACTTTCTCTCCTCCATTCGCTGTCCACTTAATGCCACTCAAAACTGAGTGTCTTCCCTGATACTCCTGCCTCTAACACACCTCTATCCAATTATTCAACAACTTCTGCTAGTTCTACCTGTAATATTCCCCCAGATTTGTTTCCTATTCTCCATTTCATTTCCAGTATTTTAGTTTAGGCCTTCACTATTTTCGTTTAGATTACTACAATAACCTTCTAATTGGTCTCTATGTAGCCAGTCTTTACTTCCAACCCATCTCTGCCCTTGCTCATAACACTATTTTTTAAAACATAAATCTGATCACATATATCATTTCACTTGTTCAAAAGCAAACAGGCTATTAACTGATCCTAGAAAAGGAAGATAATTAAATGACACCCTAATAAAAAGAACTTACTTCTTAACAATATGATTTAAAGAAATATGAAATGAGCTGGATAATATATGAAATGAGTCACTGTGTTTCTTAAATGTTGAAAAAGAAAGAGAAAAGAACCTTCCAACAAAATACTATATTAATAATATAAAACTTGATTCAGCCTGGTCTGAACTACAAAGCTTGGCACAAGGTTAATTTAGTTCATGTGAAAAAAAAATGAATGAATAAACTAGAGAAACTATTTCATTATTCCATCAACATAATTTATTGTTTAAAGAAAGGATTGTGCGGTAATTCTGTAATCATATCTAGAAAAGGAATTTTTAGTAATTTTAATTTTTCCTTAAAAAAACATTTTAACACTGAAACAGAGGTGGCTTACCTTGCAAATACCCTGTCTTTATTTGCCTTTTCTTTGCCATACTGAACTGACTGGACTTCAGTTCTCCCACTGAAATATAAAAATATGCACAATAAAATTTTAAAGAAAACTGTAAGATAAAATGACAACATAATGTGATTACATTACAATTTCATAAGAGACAAGATATTTCTAGTACAGAAAAAGGAGTAGAGAATAAAAGAAGACTGGACTACATTCCACCTCCACCTAAATCGATGACGCTTCATTACAGTTCTTCTGTGAATGAACAAAGACGTGTTCCACAGATTCTTCCTTCAGATTCTTCTTTGAGAGTATGAGAGAAATAATTGTGTATGACGGAATTCCTTCTCAGGAAAGGCACTCCCTCTAGATTTAGAGATAGGCTGCTATGTCCAGCTCATCTGAGCCCTGCCCTCACCCGATAGGTCTGTGGTTTAGCTGGTGTCCCTAACTCCTTACTGAAGGGCCTGAAATGTGTGGAATCTTGAAGAACTGCTCGTTCCTTGGGCAAGCTTTTCTTCCTTGCCTACTGGTAATGATCATAGATATCAAGACTGGTTACATCTTCAAATCCTTCCACATCCAGACACAGGCAACTCCAGAATTTTGTATATAAAAAGGAACTGAGGATAAGAAATACGGTTGGGAGTTGGGCACTGTAGGGTATTTGTCTTGCAGCTGACTTGTCTAGCAAGCACATGGGTAATGCATGGGAACTGGTCCTCCTCTGTAATAAACCAATGTGTTCAAACCTAATTTGTTATTAAAAACTTGGTTCTCAGAATACTTGTTACTCTGTCACATCTCAAGTATAAATGACTATAAATGTCTGGTATATTAAATTTAACCATCTGTATATGTAGATATCTGATGCATATAAAAGGAGTCACATATAGGTTTCCAAAGCTAAGTATGAAATTTTAACATCATCTTCCATTAGTAAGTATAGATAAATATGAATAGAATGTCGGCTTTAGTTTTAATGGAAAAGTCAGAATCATTACCATGATTTTTAAACTTAAGTAAGTTGAAATTTCTTAAGAAAATACATTTACTCTAAGAAGGATAAACTATACTTGCAATTGCAAACAAGGCAACAAATTTAACGTTTACCACTGTTTTGTATTTCCACATTAGAACAATGATTTTAATGCCCTCAATATTGTGGAACAGAGATACTAAGGATGTGTGTATGAGAAGGTTGGTGGGGAAGTAATAAATCCTCTGGTATTCTGAATTCCAACTCTCAGTGTATGTATTTCAACATTCTAAGTATTACAACAGTTCTAGTATTCTCAACCACTGCTTATTATGAGGGAAAAAGTTATTTATTTAATGCATACCCATTAGGAATAGGACTGTGTCCAGAGAAATATTTGTTATGCTGCCATTCCCACCTCATTTACAAGTGTACTAATCATTTTGATGATTAAAAGTGCTTTGGATATGTTTGTAAAGTTAGGAACTACACATAGGACTTAACTTTTACAACTATACACATACATGGCTTATTTATATATGCCAATTTAATTTAATGTTAAAAAGTGGTCATAGGCCTTAATCTTGTCCTTCCAGGCTTTGCTAAGTTTTGTATGAGGCTGCAAGTCAACAAACTCTTATTTTTTAGGTTTCTCTGCAAGTTGGCATTCTGTTAGGCTCTACTTTATTTCTGGTATGAGATCAGAAAGTAGAGCAAGTCAAAGCAGGAGACTGGCAAACAGTGGTAGCTGCTATAACAACTGTGGGGATAGGACACTGGGAGGTAGGATACTACAAGTACCTTACAGATGGTACTTCCCCTGATCAAAGCAGGGCATCTGGCAGAACTGACTATGACAAGTGGCTCTAACAGTGCAGTGGCAGGTCTAAGCTTTTGGACTCCACCCAGAAGTAACATAGGTTTCTGATCCTTAGGCATTATCTTTTCTTCCTGTTGACTTCTTGAAAACCCTCCTCCCTTTTGCAGTGCCAGTGCCTAACACCTCTGTAACCAATTCCCTTAATTAAATTGCTTTTATTTGAAAATGAAAAGGACTTTTTGTTTCCTGGACTGATACCTTAATTTTCCAGTAAAAAAGATTCAAATGGAACACTATCACTCAAAAAGCTTGATTAATAAATCGAATTTCATGCAAATCTACACCACAGTGAGAGATCACCTCACACCAGTTAGGATGACCCCTATTCAAGACAAGCAATAACAAGTGTTGCTCAGGATATGAAGAAATGGGAACCCTCCTACACTGTTGGTGGGAATATAAATTGGGTACAGTGATTGTGGAAAGCAGTATGAAGGCTCCTCAAAAAACTTAAAATAGAAATACCATATGACCCAGTAACTCTTAGGAAATTACCTGAAGAAAACAAAATTGCTGATTTGAAAAGCTATATGCACCCAATGTTTACTGTTACATTATTTATAATAACTAAGGTGTGGAAGCAACCTAAGTGTCCATCAATTGATGAATGGATAAAGAAGATGTGGTACATAAGCACAATGGGATATTTTTATTGAGTCATAAAAAAAGAAAGAAATCCTGCATTGCCAACAACATGGATAGACCTAGAGGGTATAATGCTAAGTAAAATAAGCCAGATGGAGAAAGGCATATACCATATGATTTCATTTACATGTGGAATATAAAAACAAAACAAAACTAAGTAAATAAAATAGTGCAAACTCATGGACAGTGAGAAGTGACTGGTGGTTACCATGGGGGAGGCGCTGGAGTGAGTGGTGGGGGAGGGGTTGGAGTGGGTGGGTGGGGATGGTGAGAAGGATAAAGGGGCACAGAATTTTCAGTCATAATGTAAGTTGGTCACAGGGATGGTAGTACAGCACAGAGAATACAGCCAATGACTCTGTAACATCTTCCTATGCTGACAGACAGTAACTGTACTAGCTGGAGTGAGGATTTAATAATGTGTCTAACTGTTGAATGACTGTGTTGTCTACTTCAAACCAATATAATATTATATAGCAACTATACTTCAATAGAAAAAATAAAAGAATAGAGTTTCATAATAAAAATATAAGGATAAAATTTAAATATGAGGGAGCAATTAAAAGTTTATATATTATCCATATTATTATTATGTAAGAGTTTAGTATTGGTATTAGAAAAAAATGTAGAACTGTACCATAATCTTAGAACATCAAATTCTGACAGTAATATATTTATCTTTAGAACAATAAAATACCAACTGATGAAAGAATACATGCTTAGTACAATAATTTAAACAATACAGAAAAGCATAACAACAATAAGGCTTCCTGAATTTAGCCAGTCCTGCCCCTGAGAAATGATCTCCATTTTCAACAGGAAAAATCTTTCTAAATCTCCACATCTATATAAAAATGCTACAAATATGGCCATAATTCTATTATGATGTGATTATGCTATATATGCCATTTTAAATGTAAACAGTATTGAACTGATTTCCTGTGAACTAAATGATTGTCATTCATTTATTTAAAAAAAAAGGAAAATGGAAAGATTAGGAAAACCTTAAGGAGTTGTGTTCATGTTTTGATTTTTGTTAATATGGATTCTTACACTTCTGGTATCTCCCTGCTTCTTCTTGTCTTCTTATTACTTTGTCAGTTTTTAACATTTTAATTCTATATATAGTTAGAATTCTCACAGTTGTCAAGTATTAGCTCCATATTACCAAGATTCTTCCTGAGTCATTTTGACTTATCCCTAGGATGGCTGAATTTAACTTTTTTTTTTCTGAAATGGGCTCAGAGATGTTATATTCCCTGTGATTTTGCAAACCTGATAATGTCTATCTATTGACTTTAAACCTGAATGGCAATGTGGCTAAGTTTAATATTTTCAGTCACTTTTTTTTCTTTAAGACTTGGTGGACAAAGAGTAGCCCACAAGCTATATATAAGCCTGAAAAAAAGTTTTATTTGGCATTCACTGTGTTTAAAAATATTAAATCCAAACTGATGAACCTTCAGCAAGACTGATTAGGATTAAAAGACACAAGTTTACCAATATCGATAATGAGAGATAACAAAATTCTAGAGATATTAAAAAGATAATAGGGGAAATATTGTAAACTTTATGTCAAAAAATTCAACAACTTATACAAAATGGATAAATTTCTTGAAAAAAAACATGAATCATCAGAGCTGGCTCAGGAAGAAAAAGAAAACCTAAACTGCTTTGTATCTATTCAAGAATCTGAATGTGTTAAAAACTTTTCATAAATAAAACTTCTGCCCAGATGGATTAATTGGTAAATTCTATTAAACTATGTACTGGTAATTCTATCTGTTAATTGGTAATTACACCATTCTACAGAAACTCTTCTAGAAAACTGAAAATGGAGGTAACTTCCCAACTCATTAAATAAGGCCAAAATTAACCCGACACCAAACCCTGATAACAAAATTATGAGAACTACAGAGCAATATACTTCATGAACATAGATGTAAAAGCTCTGAACAAATTTTAGATAGTTGAATGAAGTAATATATATAAAATGGATAACAGATCATGACCAACTGGGTTTATCCCAGGAATTTAAGGTTGGTTTAATACTTGAAAAATCAACGTAATTCGTCATATAAACCAACTAAGGAGAAAAACCCACTCAATCAGTACAATAGCTGTAGAGAAAGAATTTGCCAAAAACCAATATCCAATCCCCAAAAAATCTCCCAGCAAATGAGAAATAGGGAACTTCTTCAACATGCATGATATAGGGCATCTATGAAAAGCCTACATCATCATACTTAATAGTGAAAGACTAATCCTTTCCTCTAAGATAAGGAACAAGACAATTATATCCGTTCCCATCACTCTACTGGAGGTTCTGGCTGGGGCAATGAGGAAAGAAAAATATGAAAAGGATCAGAAAAGAAAGGGAGAAGCAGAATTGTTTTTAACCTCTAGGTAGAAAATCTGTTGGAAGCTACAAAAAAAGTTCCTAGAATAAGTGAGGTAAGCAATGTTTCAGGAAAACAACATCAACATTAAAAAAATTATTTGCTTTTCTACCTAATAGTGATGAACAATCTGAAATTAAAAATTAAAAAGATCATTTATAAT